AACATATAACCGTGAATTTGGCTTAAATCCACACAAATTTATATTTCTGTAGGTTAGGAGTCCAACACCAGTCTCACTGGGCTAGAATCAAGGGGTCATAGGGTATCCTTTCTGGAAGGTCTAGGGGAGAATTAGTTCTTGCCTTTTCCAGCATCTAGAGGCGCCTGCGTTCTTCGGCTTTGGCCCCTTCTTCCATCTTCAAAACCAGCAAGGGAAGGATGAGCCTTTCTCATATGCATGACTCTGATACCCTCCTGCCTCCATCTTTCCAATTAAAAATAAATCACAATGTGAGGCATAAAGAATAAAATTAACCATTTTAAAGTGAACAATTAAGTGATATTTAGCATATCCACAGTGTTGTGCATCCACTACATCTAGTTCCAAAGTGTTTTCATGACTGTAGAAGGAAACCCCATAGCTGTTAAGCAGTGTTCCCCTATTCCCGCCTCTCCCAGCCCACGGCAACCACCAACCCGTGTTCTGTCATTATAGGTTCACCTGTTGCGGACAGTTCATATAAATGGACTACCATGATACACGGCTTTTGTGTCTGGCTTCTTTCACTTCACATAATGTTTTTGAGGTTTCCCACTTCCACTTTGGAGGAGACTGGTGATCTCATTGGGCCACCTGGCTAACTGGGATTACTCTCCCTATGTCAAGGTCCGCTAGTTAGCATCCTTAATTCCATCTACAACCTTCCTTCCCCTTTGCCAGGTAATGTGACATAATCACAGGTTCTGGGGATTAGGACAGAGGCGTTTCTGCGGTGGGATCATTAATCTGCTTACCATAGGAGAGGCCACAGTGTGACAAGGGTCAAGTATCTGAGGGAATCTACTGGGCCGTCCAGCTCCAGAAGCCGCGCACGAGGACCAGGGCAGGGGTGCAGGGCGGGGCTCTGCTCGGTGGTGTGGTGTACAGAAATGGTGGGCCAGACACTCATCTGGAAGGTCTTGGGTGAGGAGGAGCAGAACGATAAGAGGCTAGGAAGGAGCTGACCCTGGGAGAAATGAAGTGAGCTAGGGCGGGGGCCCCTGCGCTTTAGGATGTGTTCAGTCACGGGGGAAGTTTAAGCAGAGATTTCAGTTTATCGGTGGCATCTAGGAATTGGCCCAGCAAATTCTGAATGCAGCTAATGGGTGAATACACTCTGTGAGGAATGCTGATATAGATCCTGGAAGTCTTGAGGTTAAAGAACTCATGTGATGGGAGTGAGGAATCAAGAGGGCTGGCAGAGTAAAAAGGCTGGGATCACACAGTGGGATTTTTGAAGCTGGAGTTCAGTTTTGAAACTGCTGAGCTCATTCCCACTTTACGGCTTTCATATTAGCTATGCCCTTTGCTTAGCAATATGCTGTGCATATATATAGTTGTTAATATTGTAGTACCCACATTAAAGAGGTATAAGGAAACCGGCAAAATTAATTTTAATCGTGTATTCTATTTAATGCAACATAGGCAAAACATTATCATTCAATATACAATTACTGTGAGATTACTTAGATATTTTTATTTCATTTTTGTATTACTCTTCAAAATCTAGTGTGTATTTAACACTTGCTTCACATCTTAATTTGGACCAACTGCATTTCAAGTGCTTATTAACCTCATGTGGCTACGTATTTGCCAGCACAGTATGGAATGTCTCTCTCCACACCCCCCGCCCCCGCCCCAAATCTTTACATGGCTGGCTCCATCTCATTTAGGTTTCTGCCCAGAGATCTTTCCTGGCCACACTGTCTAAACCAGCCACCTTCCACTCCTAACACTTTTTTTTCCCCCTTTTCTTCAGAGACTTATTGTTATCTGATGTCTTGTAAGCTATTTGTTTGCTTATTATTTGCCTCCCCAACGGATATAAATCCCATGAGGGCAAAGGCCTGTCTTCTTTAGTGCCATATCCCCAGCAACTACGTCATATTCTCAATAGACTCTCAACAAATATTTGCTGAATGACTTTGAAGATTCCAGATTCATCATTTGTTGTCCCTGAAGCCAATGTTCTTTTAGTAGGATGCTGGGGGAGGGGGCCAGAAGGGAGGAGCATTATGCAAGCAATTAGGTGGGAGAAAGCCAGCCTGAAAGCTTTCTGTGAGCTAAAATGCCGACTCTCAGGTGTCAAGTTAGAAGCCCGGTTGCTTTGCAGCTGTGACTTGGTTGCCTGTTGATTCAACCACTGGTTTATCTGGTTCTGTGAGAACCACCTCCCCAAGTGGTACTTCTGCCTGGCACCAGTAGATGGGGCAGTGTCATAACAAAAAAAAACCCTGCCCTCCAGTGGGGTGTCTAACCCCTTTCCCATCTCACTTTGCTGAAGTTCTGTTCTGGAAATGCCCTGCATCTCAGACCTGCGGTGTCTGCTCATAAATGGCGCCATCAGCTTTCCCAACAAAATAAACAAAGACTCAGTTGTGACTTGTGCTTTCCAAGCGGGGGAGGGGGGTCCCAGAGGCTGATCCAGGCTTCTAGGAGACAGCCTGGTCCTCCTCCTGGGTCTCAGAGCACAGGCACAGAGTGGGACTCACACACAGGAGTGTCCCCATTTGTCTAGAATCTTTCTATCCTCCTGAGGTTGAAGACAAGCTTCCTAAGAAGGTAGTCCAGCTGTGGCAGAGACCAGTCCACAGGAGCAGCTCCGAGGGCCTGTGTGTCTGGGACTGGCACTCTGGCTGCCACTGAAAAACCTGGCCCGCCAGGGGAATCTGCCGTTGGTTTCCCTGCCACCGCCCGAAGCCCCTGGTGGCACCCCTTGCAGACGCTGAGGCCAACCTTAGCTCCCACTTGTCCTACCCCCGCCCCCCCCAAACAGTTCTGACCCTTGAACCTCCAAGCAGTTTGGAAATGTTAACTGGTTGAATAGGATGTATATTTTTGTAGAGTTTAGACTTTGAGATTATGGAACAGTTAAAGGTCACTTAGCACAAGTTAATTTGATGGATTTTTACTGGAATTTGTTGTTTGGAGCACGTACTGTCTATTTCATTGCCACTGCAACATATCCCGAAATTTGAGAGAAAAAGGTATTAACTTCAGCTTGTATGTCTTATTATAACCCTAACTAGCTCATTCCAGCACCATGCCTAGTTTCCATCCATGCAACCAAAGAGTAAGACATCACAGCTCTGGTCCCATGACAGCCTGGGGCCAGCTGGCCACGAAGAAGCATCCCTTCCCCCAGAGAATAGGAGGGCCCGAAATGCGCAACCAACGGACTTTCTTCTTTGATCAGGAAATTTTCTTCTTCCATTGTTACAATCGTTAAACTCCATCCTAATCTGCACATGTGCATGCATTTTCATGTTCCATAACTTTGCTGTCCTCTCTACCCAGAAAGCCCTTCAATTCTTCCCTGCTTGAAGAAATCCTGTTAATCCTTCATACACTACTACCTCTGTGGCGCTTTCTCTGATTTTCCTAGTCACAATGAACCTTTTCTTCTTCCAGCTTTGGGTCTTTCTCAGAGCACGTAGCCCATTCTGTCTTCTTGTTCACATGCGTGTCTCATTCATTAATTCAACAATTAAGCAGTGCCTATTTGCACCAAGCACTAGGGATACAGGGTAGTCTCATAGAACCTACAAACCCAGAGTTGGGTGGAGTTTACGTCCTGCATTGGACTGGGAGCTTGTTAGAGGAGACGGGAAGTGAGTCTGCAAGGGACTACTAGGTCAGGGTTTGGCACCAAAAGGTACTCAGAAGTCAGTTAAACTGAAACTCAGCCTCAGTGACTGAAAAAACTGGGTTGGAGTTTTAAAAAAGGTTATAATTTAGCAAAGGTAGAAGGCCAGGGAATTTCCAGGAAGGAGAACAGTGCTTCTGAAATCTGGCATGGAAGCCAGAAACATCCATGATCCCCCAGAGGACCCGGCCTGAGGATTGCAGGTCACGCTGTCCGACTCCAGGTGGAACCTGGGAATTCGACACAGGATCATCTGGTGTTTACCACACATTCTAGCTAGAAGGGTTCTTTTTGTTTGTTTTTGTTTGTTTGTTTGTTCGTTTTTTGCTTTGACTGAGAAGACCATAGAGGTAAGCAGGTTGTTTCAAAGGCCCAGAAATGAGTTACTAGCCAAAGATCAAGATGGTCAGGTGATTAAAGCTACTTGTCTAGTTGGCACATAAAAAAGTGTGATTTATGTGATTATTCATTCCCAGTGGAGGGTGGCCTGGCATTATTTGACACTCAGGTAAAAAATGTCACTTGAATTTTTAATAGGAATTCTTATCCAAGAGGTGTCAATGATGTAATCAAATTGAATGACTGGGCTGTCAAATAAACTGAGTTCTGGTCACACATAAACATTACTTGGAAACTGAATATATCTCAGAAAACAGATAGTCTGAAACCTGACAGCAGCAGGGGGTACTGCTGGGGTTAGGAGCAGGTAGCACCTTATTTATAGACCATATATTATATTGTTCACTCCAGTCATCTCACTATTACCTGTGGAGAAAGACTCCAGATAATGAAAGATACCTGTTGGTGTTTTCTTTGCCCCTCTCTACTTTCTTTAATAGAATATAATTCTGGAAAAAAAAAATACTAAACAGCCCCTAGCCATTCTCAGAAAGCTGTCACACAATGAAAGAACTACTATTTCCCCCAACCTTTTTGCATAGTAAATTATAGTATAAAATCCTACCTTCTACCACCTCCTCCATAAGTTTCGATGGAGACATTTATTCAGTGAGTTGCAATTCATCCTGAGGGTGGAGTGTCATAATTTAAGATGCTTTTCCAGAGGGGTAACCCCAGGTCTTGGCGATATCTGTAGATAAGAGATGCTGGTAATGTTGAGGTGTAATTGCTGGACTATACCAGTCTCCCCATTCCCCTGACTAATGGCTGCAACTAGGTCCCTTTAAGAGACCAGGAACTCGCCGGGCGTCCGAGACCGAAAAGGATAATCCTCTCTGCTCCTCCCCTGTCCCCGCGCGGCGAATGGTTCGCGCCGGCCTATATTTACCCGTGAGGTTCCTCCCGGATCGCAAGGATGTGAGGCTGGCGAGCTGGCCAGCTCTCGCAGCACCGGTGGGGTCGCGGTGCATAGGCGAGTAGCAGACCAAGGGGAGCTCGGGAGCGGAGTTGGACAACCCCGGAAGGAAGAAATGAGGTAGCGACCGTCCCCGGAGCGGACCATGCGCGCGCCCCGCCCTTGGAGCCCGGTGCTTACCCGGCAGAACCTGCCCGGACAGTGAGCCGGCCGAGCGCGAGTCCCCCGCCTCCGATCGGAGCCAAGATGCAGTGAGAGCCACGGCGGGAGTGCTGCGCGGGGCCCTCCGCGGCCAGCGGGACCCACCATCTGACCGCGCTTGCGGCAAGCAGCTGTTTCTGGGACCAGCCCAGCGGAGAGGCTCTCCGCTTCCAGCACCCCTTGGCCCCTAGGCTCACTTGCTGTTGAGTTTCCGAGGTTTCTCGCCCCAGCCCTGGGAATTTTGTGTGTGTGAGAAGGGGGCCCTTCGCATATTTGCCGAGGAGTTCCTGCATTATTTTCGCACTATCTCGGCTGCTTTTGCTTCGGGGTCCCTCTATTTATTTTCAGAGGCGCATCTTTTTTTGTTGTTGTTGTTTCCTAAAGATATTTTCCACACAACTCTCATTCGGTCTTTTTCTCATTTTGCTTGCCTAAGACTCTGCCTCTGTCCCTGCCCAGGCTGGGGTAAATCCTGTGTGCGCTTTTTTCCACACTCGCAGCCGAATATTTTCTGACCTTTAAAAAAATTCTACCCCTAACCCCTGCAGGGCTCCCGAGCACTACACCCCTCTCCTGCCTCCCCACCCCCCATTCCCTACCACTGGGCCACTCCCAGCAGAGTTTTATTTTTCGGTCTTGCCCGGGCCGACCCCGGCCTAGGCGGGTGGCTCAGCGGGGCTCACACCCGGTGCTCCGCCGCCGCCGCCGCCCAGCTGCGCGGGGGCGCCCTCCGGAGATGCTGCCGTGGAAGAAACACAAGTTCGAGCTGCTGGCCGAGGCGCCGCCAAGGCAGGCGTCCAAGCCCAAGCACTACGCGGTGAGCCTGCACTACTCAGCGCTCAGCTCACTGGCGCGGGCGTGCCCCGAAGGCGCGCTTAGCCGAGTGGGCAGCATGTTCCGCTCCAAGCGAAAGAAGCTGCACATCACCAGCGAGGACCCCACTTACACTGTGCTCTACCTGGGCAATGCCACCACCATCCAGGCACGGGGTGACGGCTGTACCGACCTAGCGGTGGGCAAGATCTGGAGCAAGAGCGAGGCAGGCCGTCAGGGCACCAAGATGAAGCTGACTGTGAGCGCGCAGGGTATCCGCATGGTGCACGCCGAGGAGCGCGCGATGCGCCGTCCGGGCCACCTCTACCTGCTGCACCGCGTTACCTATTGCGTGGCGGACGCGCGGCTGCCCAAGGTCTTCGCCTGGGTGTACCGGCACGAGCTCAAGCACAAGGCGGTAATGCTGCGATGCCACGCGGTGCTAGTGTCGAAGCCCGAAAAGGCACAGGCCATGGCCCTGCTGCTCTACCAAACCTCGGCCAACGCACTGGCGGAATTTAAACGGCTTAAGCGGCGGGACGACGCGCGTCACCAGCAGCAGGAGCTGGTGGGCGCGCACACCATCCCATTAGTGCCGCTGCGCAAGCTGCTCCTGCACGGACCTTGCTGCTACAAGCCGCCGGTGGAGCGCAGCCGCAGCGCTCCCAAGCTCGGCTCCATCACTGAGGACCTGGTCGGCGAACAGCAGGAGCAGGAGCTTCAGGAAGAAGAGGAAGAGGAGCAGAACGAGGGCTATCTGGACGACGAGGAAGAGGAGGAGGAGGAGGAGGAGGAGGAGGAGGATGACCGTGTCAGGGAGGGGGTCCCGGCAGAAGAGGTCGAGGAGCAGCGGGCCCTGATGGTGGCCATGCACTTTGAATGCGGGGACTTGCTGGACACATTGGAGAGTGGCAGGGAGGAGGCGCTGGGGGGTGGCGGGGTGTCGCTGAGCCCCGGGGCTGGGCCGCCACCTTTGCTGCTGGGCAGTTCCTCCGACGTGAAGGCGGAGCTGTCGCAGGTTATTAACGACCTGGGCGAGCTCAGCTTCGGCAACGACGTGCGAAGCCTGCAGGCCGACTTGCGTGTGACGCGCCTGCTGTCTGGTGAAAGCACCGGCAGCGAGAGTTCCATAGAAGGCGGGGGCCCAGACGCCACCCCTGCCACCGCCAGGGACCAGTCCGGCCCTACGGACCGCGCCAACCCAGATGAGCCGAACTCGGGCTGAGCTCCCCGCCACTTTCTGCGCGCGCCCTGGCGCCGCGGCATGACCCCCCGCGTCTCTCGACCGCCTCCTGACCCCACCCGCCGCCCGGCCCCAGCTCGCGCCCAGGAAAGGGGAAATGGACACTTAAGGCGAACATATTTGGCTCAGTTTTAAGTGGAGCTCAGGCTGCCTGTGGAGATTGGGTGGGATGTGCAGGGGTGGGGACCCTACAAGGAAGGAGCGAGGCAGCCCTCCGGGGTCCCGGGTGAGGGAAATGCCCGCTGAATTTAGCAAAGCCCCGCAGGCGTCAGGTGCCTGCCGGCCAGTTTCCTGTTTGTGGGGCAGCTGGGGCCTCGGGAGGAGGGGTTAACTTCCTCCCCATCCCTCTCACTGAGAGCAGGCTCGCATTGTCACTGGCATGTTATTTAAAAGGAAAGGGAATTTACTCACAAGGTTTGAGGCTTTAGTGCCCCCCTCTTAGCCCCCAGTCTTTTGGTGCGAGTGCTTGGGTTGTTTACCTCAGACTAAGACCCTTGAAATTCTGCCAAATTCCTCAGATAATTGTTTGGTGGGGGTGGGGTGGGGAGGGAAAGGAAAGAAAGTTGTATTTTGTTTACAGTTAAAGACATCTAATATCTAAAAAAGGAGTTTTCCTTTAGAAACACACACCTTCCTTCTGCTCAAAAGATCTCACTCCATGATACTGTGTAAAAATATTTTTGCACTGTTGTGAAGTATTTTTGACATCTTTGTTTTTGTACATAACTGTGTTCTCAAGAGCTGGATGTTTATATCTTTTGCTGTGCAAAAGGGACATGTAAAATGTTGTTCAGTTGTATATACAGAAGTGTGTATAAAACATTTTGTTATTTTTGAAGAGTAGCACTACTCTGGTTCTGTTTGCCCGCCCGTGGGGAGAGAATAAAGAGGAAAATTGAACAGATCAGGCGAACGTCTGGAAGTGCTGCTGAGAGCGCGCGGCCGTGCGATGGTGTGGTCAGTGCGTGGTCTCTGCCTTGCTCTGAGGTGATTCGGGGAGGGGATCCTACTTTAAGTCAGGGGCCCCTCTGGCTCTTTGCCACTCTGGGTACTGTGGCTGGGAACAGCCTTCTCAAGTATGTCCCATATTCTTAGTTAATTTCTGGGAGAGTGGGCTTTCTTTTGACTCTGAGTTAATTCTTGGAGATGCAGGGTGAGTCTGTTCCTGACTCTCAGACCTGTGAGGTTATCTATGGAGAAGTGACTTAAAGCATCTTGTGAGGGTTTACCACCTTCTTCTGTGGTTCATGGGCTAATGATCAAGTGTAAGAATGCAATATAATCTTCCTTTACAAACAGCTTGAGGAGCTTTAAAGGTCAACTAAAGACCTAAAGAAAGTCTCCATTGGGCTCTCTGGGGAGTAGGACCATCTTTGTTTTGTTTTGTTTTGTTTGTTTTCCAGGGGGTAAGTCAAGAATAGAAGAAAGTTGGGACATTCCAATGATGGCACGAATGAGTAGAGGTGCAGGTGGGGTGGGTGCGGAGGCAGGTGGAAGAACCTATTTCCTTCCCCTCTACCACCCAGCATGACCCAGTGTGGGAATGGTGTGAGGGTCAAGGCAGAGAAGAGCCGTTACAGCTTGTTGTGTGTGTGTTTTAGGGCTTTCATGGATTCTGTGTGTTTGTTTCTGTTGTAAACTCCGAACAGATGTCTCTAATTTGGCTACACCCGGTCAGCTAGAAGTTGTCATAAGATGCTGCCAGAACTGTGCCTTCTGCAAACTATTTTTTTCCTTTTGCCCCTTTGGGCCCCTTTTTATGAATTGCAGAAATGGATCGCACTCCTGGCCTTCCCTGGTGCCCTGAGGCCACTTTGTTTTGTTTTCATCATAAATTTGTTCTAAGCAGCTAGGCCCAGAAATGTTAAGGAGTCTGGAATTCACTGGGACCATAGAGGAATGGGGTGTGAAAGATCTTTCCTCCTAATTAATAGGAACAGTTCAGGCATAAGACTATCTTTAGGAAAGCAAAGCCAAGTTTGGGAAGGTGGGTGGGAAATAATTTTAAAAATATTTGGAGTCACTTTTTAGGGGCATTAAGACAAGGTCCAGGCCTTTGAACCTATCATATTTTTGTTTAGTTGAGAGTCCCTCTCTCCCTGAGAACCTCAGATACATATCATTAAATGACATCTTATTTTTCTTTTTTATCCTCACTTGAGGGTGCTTACTGACTTTAGAGAGAGGGGAAGGGAGGGAGAGAGGGAGGGAGAGAAGCATTGATGTGAGAGAGAAGCATCAATCAGTTGCCACTCACATGCGCCCCAACTGGGGACCAAACCCGCAACTTGGGTATGTGCCCTGACTGGGAATTGAACCCACGACCTTTTGGTGTATGGGACAGCGCTCCAACCAACTGAGCCACACTGGCCAGAGCTCACTGAATGACATTTTAAAACCTCCAGCTAGAGAGAGGTCAGGAAAGTCAAATGCCATCCTACCTGGACACCCACATCATGTACCTTCCACACTGTTTTCACCTGGCTGGCAGCTGTATGGGCCGTCGCTATCTTGCATGGCTAGATTTCACATTTCAAATTATTTCTACACATTGCCAAGTTCCTTTGCTATTTGAAACTGATGAGAACATTAAATGGTGAAGATCATAGGGCTAATACTTGGAGGTGGGGCAGGGTCTGCATGTCTTCATTTTTATCCAGTTTATGTGTCCAGTGAGAATGGTAAGGTTGGCTTTCTTCTGTGATTGATGGGGGTATGGTGACTGGTCAAAAAGTGCAGACAAATGACATTTAAGCCAACGCCATCAGTGAATATAAGGCAACTGTCTCTTTAAAGTCTGATTTTTTCCCGTTAGCTGATTTATAAACAGGGAAATGGGGGCTTAGGGATTGACGAAGGAGGAAGAAGAAAGTAATAGGCAGACTGCAAAACCAGTTCCCTTCCTGCTCCTGGTGCCCTCCTCTCCCCTCCTTCCTCCCCTCTACTTTTTGGCTTTTATCCTCACTGCACCCTAGGGTTCTGGCTGATGTAATTCTAGAAGAGATGTGAAGGTGATACATGATTCACTCTTCTTACGGCTCAGCCTTCCAGGGATGATATCACTAACGTAAGAAGAGATGTTTTAAATGGAAAAAAAAGCAACAAACCCAAACAAACCACAAACAAAAACAAAATTTGCTCCTGACACTCAGAGTGGAAGGAGTGGTATGACAGTAGCAAAACTAAATACAGCCGGATGAAATACACATGCCAGAAAAGCACCTGAGTCCTGTTTAGTTTATTCATCAAACTTAGCTTTTCCTTCATGCAAGGTGAGACCTGTGTTTCTCCTTTCCGCAACCTGATGGTCCTTTACATGCAGTGAGACACTTTCCAGGTTCTTTTCCGGCCTCAGTAATCCTCCATGTCCAACAATGCAGCCTTGACTGAAAAGCGGAGTGACTTCCGCTGCAAGAGAGACTGTTGCAGGGTGGCAGTGTGAGCCCACACATCAACTTCTCTTGTTCGGTTGTTGAGAGGGAAGGAGGGAGGAGTAGGACAGGGTAAAATAAACGATAGTGTTACATACCCTCTCAACTATTAGAGTTTCAAAGAACACCCACTCCACACGCACACATGTTCCTCCCTAAAGAAAACATTCCTCTCACTGCCCTACAGGTAGCAGAACAGCAGATTTTAAACAAATTAGAAAGGCTCTGTTCTACTAAGAAAGCACAATTCCCTCCCAGGGACAGAGTCGCTTTTAAGGGTTCTGCTTGTGAAAGAGAGAGCTGGCTGGTGGAATCCGTCCCTGGTACCACACTGGAGATTAAAAACCTCATGGGAGTTACGAAGGATCACGAGAAACCTAAAAATTCTATTAGGAGTAAGTTGCCCTCATTTCTAACAGGATTTAGTAATTTAATAAGCACAACTCTTTCCTCTGTGTGGTATGCATCAGTAGCCCTAGCATCTGCTGGTAGGTGATGCATGACAGAGTTAGAAATGTGCTTGGACTGCTGGGGCGAGGAGCCATGTCTGACATGCGTGGAACTACTCCGGGCCCCAGGCAGGCAGGAGGCTGCTGGGGCCAGGGCGCTCCGTGCTGTAGGTACCAGGTTTTTCTGCAACATGGCCATATCTGGATCTTGCTTCACTGTTATCTGGGACCTTTCCTGCTCCTCCTGGCTCATCCATGTTCACAGGCCACAATGTGCCTTGGACCGAACACCACCACCAGCTCTGAAGTAACGCAATTTGAGCAGCCTTGCTTAACCACCATTTTATTTTGGTGGTTTGAACGGCTAGGTGACCCTGCACGTTGGCGCTCATTCCTTCCTCTCTCTAGGCTGTTCAGTGGCACTAGCAAAAGTCCTTGTTTCTACTCTCCGCCACAGAGAGTGGTCCTTCTGACAGCTCCCTCTCCCATGTCTCCTCGTCATCTCTTTCCCAGCCCACTTCCTCCTGTAACACATCATTCTCCTCTGGTTTCTCTCATTGTCCAGCTTTCCCCCTGATCCTGCCTTCACTTCTCTTCCTTTCCACAAACCTAGCTCAGACCTTAAATCACCTAAAAGGAAAGAAAACCCAAACTTTAAGGGAAAACCAAACGAAGCGCACATTTATTGGGGAGCACCACTCTTACAATTCCAGGGCGTGCTGGAATTAGAGATGAACAAACGGAAGCAAGGAAGGATGATGTCCCACCCGAGGTTACACAAAAATGGATCAAGGCCCAGGGGTCCAAACTCTTAAGCTCATGCTTCCCCCCCGCCCCCCCCAACCACATTCCTCCAGTTTTTATGGCTTATTGCCAGATCTTTGGGATGGCAGAAACTGACAGCTAAACTCTTTATTTTTCCCTTTCTTTTATACCCTACATTTCAAACATGGCAAATGCTTGATGATATATATACATGATGCCATCCATCAACATGCCACTTCCATTACCAAGTGGGTATGAGTTTGTACTAGCTGCACCGTGCTGGAGGTAGAGAAGTCAGATGCCTGTCCTCCTGGGGAGAATATTGCTTCTGGGTGAGTAGCAGCCCCCAGAGAGACATGGTCTCCTCTTGCTTCCACCTGAGATCTAGTCAGGCAAGACCTCGCCCTAGAAGAGCAGGTCTAGTTTAAGGTGGGCAAGCTCTCCTCATTGCATCATGAATATTATTAATCATCTGTATCCCTACTGGTTGGCTGAGTAATCCAAGGACAGACATGTGTCTTTAGGCATCTCTGATTCACCAAACTTAGCACAGAGCCTGGCACTTAGTAGATGCTCAGGAAATGCTAAGGATGGAATAAGGAAGTGATTCTACTTTAGCCTAGGAAAATAGATCTGATAAAGTTCAAGGTCATCATCCAGATGGCAGAGCCAAGATTTTAAGGATATATGTTTGGAAAGCAAAGAAGATTAGGATTCAATGGACTCCTTACCTCTACATGAGGTAGGTTCAGTTCTGAAGATTTTCCTTGGAATTTCTTTGACCTTCTGAGAAAGAGATGGTTCTAGTTTGGAGAAGGATGGTTTATTTTTAACTGGCTTTGAATGGCTCATTTCTGCTCCCAGGTTATTGCCAAAGATCTGTAATTTTAGCCAAATGAAGGGAGAAAACCTGCTGGAAGAGCCTTGGTCTAAACTACCTGGACTCTCTCTGCATTGACCCTTTCAAGTCACTTCCCTTCTCTGGCCTCAGGATTCTCATAGGCAAAATGGGTGGGCTGGATTAGATAATAGCAAGACTTTTAGCACAAATGTTTTGAATTGAAGAAGGAGCAAAAGTTAAGGTCAAGTGTGTTTCTGTCTTCTTCCATCCCCTAATGGGACAGAAAGAAGAAACCTCTGACCATGGGCTAGAAACTCTCTGTCCCCAGAGCCCATCTTTAGGACCCACTGTGGCCTGGACCTTCACCAGAGCCTAATTTGGAGGTGACATGACCAAGGCAGATCGGTAGTTGTCTGTTAGGCACCCCTTTCACTACCTCAAAACTCGGAGACCATGGTCGGTCTTAAAATAGGGACTGACAGTGAATGTAAGGGACATGT